CTCAGCTGGGTCCTACCAGTCAGCCTGGCTGTTGTAGCTCCTTGACAGTGGTTACACAAGCTTGTCCTGATGCCTGATTCAGAGTCAAAGCACAAAAAGTTGTAAATGTGATTTAATTGCAAGAGATCACCAGGACAAGGTGGTCTGAAAACCAGCCAGTGTGTTAAACTTTAGAGTGACTCCTCCTGCGACATGTCCTGTGTCAAACATCCAGATTGCCTTTATGAGTTACTTCAGAGCAGCAGGGCAGATGCATAATCTCAGGGAGTGAAGGAGAGAAGCATCATCACCCTTCGAGAAGGTGTTCAAGGTGTGAGCAGCACAAGATGTGTCAGTGCAGAGGGAACTGCAGGAATGGCTGCTGCTGTCTTTTCTCCAACAGTTCTGGATGTAGTTGTCATCCACCTGTCATCCACCAGGCTGCAAACACCACTTATGACCTGATGTCTTCTTTCTCTAGTCTGCCCCCCGGTGTGTAACAGAGGTGGGTGGAAGACTAGAGTGTGATGGAAATTTCTGCAGATCTCAGAAACAAAACCAACATGTCCTATCACCAAGGATAATTTTCCACCCAGTCTCAACAGCTGCCTGCAAAGGTGGACAGGGGTGGGAGCAGCATGACTTCCCTCCTTGCACATGCACCCTGCTGTGCTGTGCCTAAAAAGCAAATGCAAGGCCTGCATGAGTTGTAGGGGATCCATGGCCAGGCAGTGAGGAGAAGGTCTTGAACTGCATCCACATCAAAGTGCGTGAGCACCTTCCCTTCCTTGTTACTAACTCTGCTTGTTTAAATCCTGAAGCTGAATTACCATGATCAATAGCAGGCACTTGTTAACATGCATGTTAGCTGAAGCAGACAAGGTTTTTGTGAAGACCTCGTGGTATTCAAAGCTTTCCCAGACGTAGGGTGCATTAGGATCACTGCTCAGATATCTGGCCGCAAGTAACTTCCCAGAGCCTGGTTACTTTGCACTCTGCTAAAGAACCAGTCTTCTTTATCTTGCCTTATTCTTGTGGCACAAAGCCCATGTCTCTATCTGACAGCACAGTGCTAGAAAGGGACAGTGTGACCTTTGGAGCATTACCACAACATAAGGATTGTGGAGTGGTTGGAGGTAGCCAGGAGCCAAGGATGTAATTCTGATGCCGTGTCTTGGAGCAGACAGTGACTCAGGGTCTGCCCCTGCTGCGGGTTAACCCTCAGGACAGGAGCAGATGGCATTAGCTACTTACTAACTGAAGAGCAGTCATACAAACGAGAGTATTAGAAGGATATTTCTCTAATAGTGTCTTCTTTCAATTAATATTCCCAGATTCACAGACACACAAGAGTCAAGGCCAGGAGCTAAGAGGGTCAGCTCCAGGTCATTGATTGTGCTACTCGAAAGAAATCCTTAACCTTCAGGACTTAGTATTTTGTAAACAAGTTTCACCTCTCTCCTCTAATTCAGGCACATGGGATGCTGAGGCCAGAGCCTAATACTGTAACTAGCATAGCAGATAAATCTCCATGGGAACAATTAGTATTATCTACACTTGATAAACAGTCTCATGCTAAATCTATGTCCCAAAGGGTGTCATATTCTACTTTAACAGATTTAATTAAAGTAGATATTGTTCTGACAATGAATAGTGAGGTGCAGGCAGGACTGGTGATTTTTTTTTAATAGGGGTTGAACAGAGACCTTACAAATTTTCATTGCCACCAAATCAGTAATGAAGGCTTTAGTTGTCTTTGGGGAATTTTCACAGCTTCTTCTGGTCCAGGAGATAAATTCCTTGTAAAATGTTGCCCAGCAGTTGGGGTGGAGGAGAGGCACTATTCCTTTTCTATTCCAGTGTGCTTGCAAAAAGCCATTCTGGAGCTTTCATGGAAAGTGCAAGATAGCTACAACCTTCTCCTTGGGGAAACTGCACTTTCCTGAGACACATTCTTCAACTTAAGAGCAGGACAGAGGGTATGTTGGTTAAAGGCAGCATCACAAGATATTCTACAAATGGGGAGAAGGAACAGCAGCTTTTGAAAATCATTATGCTACAGGTTTGAAAATAGTCCCTGAGGATGTTAGGCAGTGCTTTCTCACAGTGTATCCCATGGAATGTAGTAATTAACTCCTGCCCGCAAAAAAAGGCAACCTTGTCTGCTTCTCCATCAAGTCGTTATCTTTTCCAGTGTTGCACACTGTGTCTTTTAATCTTTTAGTTCAATACATTCTTTCCTGCCTTGAAATCAAGCAGCAGACTTTCAGCAGTGACATTTGGACCCATCTAGCTTTGCAGCTGTTCTCTTGTGGGTAAGAGTAGCACAAATGACATTTTGCAGCAATCCATGGGCTAGTCAGCAACGTTTGGCAGTTCAGAGCCCTTGGGCCAAATTTGCTGCTGACTTAAGTAGTTACCAGTGGGCCATGATGCAACCTCTAAATAGCATTCCTG